CGACCTACCGACCCTAATTTTTTTGCGATATGAAACCGGAACCACAGGTATTTTTTTTTACGCCTTAGTTACACCCGAGAAATTACAAGACAAAGAAAATTTCCGCTCCGCGCGGAAAACTCCGAAAAGCGAAAGCTTGGTCTTTTATTTAGTTTTTTAAATTGTATTTTCAACGAAGTTTTAAGAACAAGGCTGGAAGAAACAAATTAACGTATAGTTCAAGATTTTGTTAGACATTTTACATGCATATACAGTATAGAGAAAAAGCAAGGGTTTACATATCGCAAAATTCGCCACAAAGGGCAGGGAACACCCACAGAATGAAACTCCAATTAAGCCGGCTTTATGCTGGCTCTCGTGCATACGTGTAAATATAGAAAGTAAATACTAGAAGTTACTATCGCAAGGAAAATGCTGCCTCAACCCGTCTTCCATCACACAAGCATGTAAGGCACCCCTAAGACACCAGGAGGTAGGAAAAGTGCAGTTTGAATACAAAAACAGCTTGCACAAAGTCGAAGGTCGGCTAGATATTCTAATCATAAAGATTATAAATAACACTAGAAGAGGCATTGAGGTTAAAAATTTGGGAACACGTCTAGGGGGGGGGGGCAAATGTAGGTCCCGGATATAAAATCATGCTCTCACCAACGGGAACACAAGTACACATGCAGGAATTTGCCCACAATAGCAGGATTCCTTTTTTGCCTAATGTCAAGATTGCGATGCCTCCTCTAGTGTTATTTATAATCTCTGTGATTCTATTAAATCCTATTGACTTCCACAAATTCCTTACTCTTCAAGAAATTACTTCCTTGAAAATTTCTTCGTTCTAAAAAAAGGAAGGACTTTGTGAAAGCCTACAGGTCATGCTATGCACATTTTTAATGATTTGCATTATTCAGATAGATGCAGGTTTATTGGCAATTTTAGCATGACCAGTTGTCATGGCTAGCTTGCCACTGAATACTGTACAATAACATGTATAACAAACAATAATAATACTTGAATGAATCATTGGATATGTAGAATTTAATTACAATTTCATACATAGAAATACTACCAGTAAGGGCCTGTTCATATGGGCAAAAGTTATCCGTGTTAGCGAGAAAACTTTTCAACAAGTTTACAAGCGAGATTTCACGTTGGTATGAAAATAATATGAAAAGTTACATTGCGTTCATATGAGACAACAACTTTTTCCGTGTACCGAGTTCTCGCTTGTTGACAGGCGAGATCTCGGTGACCGGATAATGTTTTTTCCCATATGAACACAACTTTCCCGCTTAACGGGATAACTTTCTGTTGTGTCAGCAACTTTTCAATTCAATTCATGTTCAGCGCTACGTCACAGCCGGAAATTTTACCCGGTAAGCGAGGTAAAGTTTCTCCATGTGAACAGAACAAAAGTATTTGGCTAGTCGAAAAGTTTTCTCCTTAGGCCCTATTCACATGAACCCGGGACAGCATTATGTCTCGGGGCAAGCAATTGTCGCGGGACAAAAATTGTCTTGGCTCCTCAGTAAAAGAATAGTGCTGTTCACATGATATTTTACTTGTCCCAGGACAAGAATTGACCCGAGTGCCTCGCCTCTGTAGACAGGGACACTCGCCTTGCTGGGACAACTATTCCTCATGTGAACACTTTGCCGCGGGGCAACTTTGTCCCGGGATAATTGAATTTTGGTGAAATGATCAAAATCGCGGCTAAAATTACATGTAGAGCACGTTGGACTCCACAAAAACTTGTTATTTGATTGACGATATCATTAGAAATCTATAAGTGATGATTCTAAAAATATTGAAATAAAATTGTCACTAATATCATGTTTGAAACCAAGAAGTGTAGTATGTTACTCAAAGAATTTGATCTGTTCAACCAGAAACAATGAATTGAGCACATTTTATTACGGCTGATAATCAACTACGTTCTATTTGTAAATATCATTAACAAAAAATAACGACTTGCGTTTATCAGAATGGTTTTTATTTAGCAATATTTCACTGTTTCCCGTTGGCGGGAATATTTTATGATTCCCGCGTAATGTATTTATAGGCATGACCCGCGCTAGCTTTGTTCATGTGAACAGAAGATATCAGTACCCCGGGTCAATGACTTGTCGCGGGGCAGTTGTTTATCCCGGGATCATGCGAACAGGGCCTTAAACCAGGATAACTTTTGCCCATATGAACAGGCCCTTTGAAGTCAGTTTTGTCCCAACTACTGTATCATTTTAATGGCACCTTCAAGGCTACCCCTACTGTAGAACAACTGAACAATGAATCTGCCAATCGGGAGACACAATGTATTTTGTTGACATTTTTGTTTAATACATCAGCTTCAGATGACCATTATTTGTAATAACTATATATATAGTAAGAAAGAAATTGTGAGCATTATTATATACAATTGTGTGTTCCAATGTGGGCATCATACTGCTCGATTTAATAGTAGTCATCGCCCAGGAAAATAAAACAATTGCAAATGGCCACTATCGAAATTGTCTCAGGTCATGACTATTAAGACCAGTATTTCTCGCAGGCAGTTGCAAAAAACCTTGTGCTCTCAGATTTTGTGACCAGACTTCTGCGCCAACAAGTGATCAAATGTCCCCTCATGTCCCCACAGATCACAGCATCTTGTCAAATGTCCCCAACCTCAGGCTTGTGTCAGTGAGCCAATGGTTATGGCTAAAGGGGATGGACGAGAGGTAGGTGACCGTGAGAGGACTGGGTCTAGTTGCGTGTTTATTTCGTGTTCGTGGTACACGCGAGAACAACTCACTTAGTGAAAATTTGTTTAATTTTCAGGCATTCGAATCTTTATTAATTGACACTCATTCTTACAACTGAATATTTAATATATAAAGATCATGTATGATTTCTCTGCATGATACATTATGATAATCAATGTTTTAATCGCAAAAGGTATGTACCTTGAGGTATAGAATCTGAAATCTCATATTTTCTTTACTTAATAGTTTGATTCATGTAGTCATGTACTGCATGCACAAGTATTTAACAAATGTTTGGTGTTTAAATACTCGTGGGAATTCCTTTGGAAAATATAAGCTGACCAGTCATTATTTGTGGAAGGGGGGAGGGGAATTTTCTCTTTCCTAAATTTTTAAAATTGAAAGCCGCCCCCCCCCCTCCCCTTAAAAGAGCAGAAATGTAATGGAGATCCCCCCTGCATAATTAGAATATTTTTCTTTGACCTCACCCCTTTTCATTTTTACTCATCAAATGGAGATTCCAAGGCGTTATAGTGTTAATTATTAAATAAGAATATGGAACTGATAAGATATTAATGTTGATCAAAAATATATATTAGCAGAAAATTATAATTAAAAGAGGAGTATTTTTATATATAATACTAAAATCAGGTTTCCATTTGGTACTAAAATCAGGTCTCCATTTGGTCTGGGTGATTGTAAACATGTCAAGATAGCAGATGTAACATTATTATACATTGTCAATTTATCTCTTCAATCAGTAAAGACTGATTTGCATACAGCACACAAAAGACAAGATAAATCCACCAGACTATTTCACATCAGTGACCATGATTTAGTTGCAACATTTACCAACCAAATGGATACCAGCTTATTAAACAAATTCCTTCAAATTCAATTGCAACCCCCCCCCCATATTCTTGAAAAAAAATTAATAGCCCCCCTTCTAGTCATTTTTTTAAAAATATGGCTCCCCCTTATTTTTACCCTCCCCCCCTCCATAAATAATGAACGGTCCCTTAAGCATCAAATATATAATGTTGCTAACTAAAATCCTCTATCATACCATAAATAGGTTTATATATACAAGGCTGTCAGAAGTAAATCAATATTGGGGGGGGGGGGGTTCTCCCAGGACCACGTATAGCTCCAACCTCGTCCCCAGGACCTTTGAGCTGACTTCGTGCTGGAGAAGGCCCACTGAGCTCTACTATATATATCTGGAGACCGTGCTCCCATATCTCGTCAAACAAAAAAGTGTCCGCAAAAACATGGCGGATTTCGAGCTCCGCGTCCACTATTTTCGGGCGATTTACCACTGACCACATAATATTTTTGAAAGCCACCTGTTTTCGCACCCCCCTGGATGCAAAACACTATGTAATTATTAAACTATCAAGTTTCACAACTTTATATTTTGTCAACATGCCGCGTTAATATTGGTCGGTTTATGGTTGTCACAACTCCTTTGACAAAGACGGATTGTATTCACACTGTCACTGGTAAGGAAATATTATTTTGTGCTTAGATATCATTCCAGAAGTTTTTTCTGCAAATGACAATGTAAAGCAAACGGTAGTTTATGTTTTGTTCACGTGCATGTGTCACCAGCTTTTCTCGACTATGGCTTCTTTTCTGAGGTTTTTGCATGCAGTTTGTTTCATTCAAATATTATATTTCCATTGTTCCTTGTGATGTTCTCGTGTGCGTTTTTCCTACCTACTGTACAGTGTATTTTATAGGCCTGTTTGTATTTATGAAAGCATATTGTTATTGAATTTTTTCCCTTCACATATTTAAGTATTCCTGATGAAAGAAGCATCCAGAGTTGTACAGCATATGGGTTGAGTATATGAATAAACATGCGACAGTGAAGTCTGTTCCTGTGAAAAGTAGTTGTCTGTGTTCAGATCACTTTAGTGCTGATATGTATGAGATAAAGGGCAAAAGCCAGAAATTAGTATTGAGACCGGATGCTAATACCAACAATAGTTACACAAAGGTTTGCTCAGGTCATTGGTGCGATTTAAAGTGTTAAAGTGTTATATGTAACAGTGTGCATGAGTTACATTCTTTGCTAAGGGACAAGTCATTATTAATGCCGGGTAGGGGGCTGGAGGAAATTTTTATGAATAGCAAAAATTTTTCATGACCCCTTATTTTTCTAACAAACTATTTTATCCCCCCCCCTTATTGAGGCAACATATTTCATAGCCCCCCCCCCTCCACCCCAATTCTGAATTCAATTACTCTAAGTCAGTTTCATAACCATTTTTCCTGCCCTCATACTCAGTTTACTAGCAGATGTAAAGAATATTGTAAATATTGAAAATAAAGAATATTGTAAATATTGAAAATGATAGCCAAGTAGATAATTCAGACTTTATACCTGAAAAGTTGTTGGTCCTCAAACAAAAAACCCACAAATCAGACCTACTTTTACTAATTGAAAAAAATACATTTGTGTCTGGTGGAAGCATTACTGTATATTGAAGAGATGGCAGAAGAGACTGTCAACAACATGCAGAAACAGAACATGCAAAAGAGGTCCACTGTGTTAAAAGCAGGACAACAACTGTCAACTGAATCTTGCATTTGCAAATGCAGTGCATGACCCTTTAGACAAATTCTCTGGTGATGATGAGGATGACAATTTCCATATACAGTGCCTAGAACACAACTTTTAGGTTCAATATATTGGGCATTACTGTTCAATGTATGTATACTGTATATATCCATCACTCTTTTGATATTGCATGTTATAAACTATAGATTTTATTTTTTGCCCCCCCCCCCTTTATGTTCAAAATATTTTCTCCCCCCCCCCTTCACTGGTCAAAATTTTTTTGTGGCCCCTCTAT